AAAAAATTGATCCTGTTACCTAATCAACCCTTCTTTTTTTTGTATCAAGATGGAGTAGTAGAAAGCCAAAAACTTTCTTTCCCAAAACTTCTTTAATGTTTCCATCGGAAATCTTTCCTGCTTCCAAATCAAAATTATAAATATTGGTGGGACTTTTTATAGGAAATTTCCTCCTCTTCAACGACCTTTTTTCAAATTTCGGATATCTTCAATATTTTCCGAGGTATTTGCAAAAAACCAAACCCTCCTTTTACTTACTGAATTGTTTATAACTTTTGCAATTTTGTCGAGCCCCTCTTGAAATTTTTCAAAAAGTTGCTAGAGGTCATAATTTTCGGTGCCCTTGGACAGAAGTTTCAAAAGAAGGATCTTGTGATCCAGACTAATGAGTGAGTAACCCAATTTCGTTTTTGTTTTAAGTGAGAAGAAATCCGAAGAGAGCCGTACCCGAAAAGAATTATTTTGAAGAGGAACAGCCACCTGAAGATAGATATATATGTGAGTGAAGTTGCACATATACAGGGCTTTTCATGATGAGCGTTAATTAGTCGTTTCTGGCAAACTATTCAACGGATCAACCTGAAAATTTCACAGTATGCATAAATCACTATGACCTACACGCCTAAAATATTTCAGACGAAGCGGCGTTGTTGCTTCCACTATAAAGTAGCGGCTTTTTTGATTTTTCAAATGGAACACCCCGTATATAATATCATATTATGATTCATTATCACTTTGTCAACAAATTCATATACTANCCAGAATTTCCGGTCTATATCATTGCTTTCGACAATCTCAAAAATAATTGAAAAACTGGTTGAAAAGAGAATGCTTATATCATTGCTTATAATCATAGCATACTACACGAATCTCAATATGGATTCCAAAGCCATCTTCTCTTTTCTGGAAGATGTATACAGGGTGTAACATAAGTACGTTAAAATATTCAAGTGACGTAGTCCTGAGACAATTTCATGAAAAAAAGTCTATATGAACTTGATGCTTCGTTTTGGAGATACGGGGTGGATAAGGGTTGTTGAAATTGATTTTTTTTCTTCGCTTTTTGAAAATGACTCTTGCAAAAAATAAGTTATTTGCACGAAATTCGATATCCGGGGTTTTTTGACGTGAGAAATCATAATTTCGTATTAATTTTCATGTAACATCTAATGGGCGCTGCGTACGCTGTCATTATTCGTCATGTCAAATTGTCCTAACTTTTTTGACAGTAAACTTTTGGTACTTTTCATGAAAAAACCTAATTCCAATACCTTTTCCAAGTAAAAAAAGTACATTTCCTCAACAACGCTGGAAGTGATCGTTTTCGAGATATTTTCTAAAAATTAAACAAATCGTCAGCTGTGCGCCCAGATGAAACATCATGAAAACCCATAAAACGTTCTACCACATTACCATCTTTGACGTATCTAAAAACGATTGAAAGTTTTGATGTACAGGTAATATAGGTAGTTTCATCAATTTCCCATGCAAAAAAAGAAACACTTTCAATCTCCTTGCTTATATTTTCCTTAATAATATATGCCACAATGTCTATAAGCTCATTTTGGATGGTTTTTGAGGTGCCCCAAAAAACGCTACCGTTTAAAAAAGTGCCAAATTGTGAATCATATTTGCCCCATAACATTAAAATTCCTTGTAACTGCCGCGATTAATCAAATCTTCGGTTTCATCGTGTCCACGAAAAGCTAATTCTTGGGAACCCAAATAAATCGTAATATCGATAAGCGTTTTTAAATTCGACCGATTTTCCCTAACCTGATTATTAAAAGAAATTATGGCCTCTTTTTGAACTGTATCTAAAGCTGTTGCTATATTTTGTTTGCTAAACAATTTTAATTTACAAGACGAAAATATATGCTCCTTAGATGTTTTCCAGAAGAAATACAAAA